AGCCTATGAGAACAGAAATGTCAACAGCATCTTAACAAAAGAAAAATAATAAAGAAGAAAGAAAAATTAAAAAAAGAAAAAAAGAGACTGAGCCAGCAGAACCAAGTCAGAAGGGCCACTGAAAAGCAAAAAACTGGATTGCAAAGCATGCTGTGATCTTACAGAAGTCACTCTTGTGCTATGTCTCCTTAGCAAAGTCATGACAGGTAAGTTCCCTTCCAACCATAACATTGCATGGTTCCATTGTTCTCGGAAAAGATGTTGGGAGAGAGGAGGCTGGAAAATACTTCAAGTCAAATGTAAGAAAGAGACAGGGAAAAAATGATAGTGAGTTGACAAGAAATTTATATTATGGAGGTATGATAAGAAAAGTGTACAAAAAGAACAGATCTTGTATGTCAGGACAGTAACAAGACTGCCCTAAATTCATCAATCACAGGATCTGCCCTGCCAAGAAGCCCTTTCGGGAAACTGCTCTGCCACAGTGTTTGCAGAGACGGATGCTTAGACTGCTATGCTTTGTGCCAAGTGACCCTGAACATCCCATGATAAGCCACAGGCGATTGGACCAGCACCAGGTACTAGACCCAAGGGCAGCTTATCTGTAGGTTGGTCTTCAGCCTCTGCTGTGGCCTGGGCCAAAGCTCTACCCAAGTGAGATGATGGGTAATGGCCATAGCAATGGGAATCCATCTCTAAGGAAATTTGGAACTGGGGGTAGGGCAAAATTAAGGCAATTATGAGTAGCAATGGAATCTGAAGTGATAAATAGAGAGAAGCCAAGCAATTAGGAGACACAGCAAGCAACAAGTGTAAGAGAACAGAAAGTACAATTAGGAAAGAGCTATGAAAAGAACAAAAGATTCATAGTGAAGAAAATGGGCAGCAGGAGGAGGACAAGCAGAGAGAAAACAGATACACTGAGCAGCTGCATTACATTCACATTGGAACACAGGCATCAACATCCATTTGCTTTTGCTGCTCAGGCTCCCAGGGTCAAGGCTCTGCTTCCCACAGTCTGGTCTAGCTGATCAGTTTCTTCTGAATTCCCATTCCTTTAAACCAAGGCTCACAGTTCCTTACTTTAATAATAACTTAAGTGGCTCTCTATTCCTTACAACTAAGAAGCCCTATCAAAACTATACTATGTCAATTCATAATGAGGTGAAGAGAATGCTGATCACTGTTGAATCTCAGTGATGAATACAGAAAGGTTCCATACATCATTCACCTTAGTTTACATTTGGAAATTTTCATAGCAAAAAGTTTAAAAAGACAGAAATATAGCAGAGAGAATGTGCAGCCTGTAGACTCTAAGTGACTAGGAAACAGAATCATTACCCAAGGAGGCCATGCTGTGGTCATTTTCTGGCATCACGTTCCAGTGCATTGCTCTCTGACTGAGCGCAGGACATTTCTGTTTCTTCTGAGTATAGTCTACAGACAGGTCCTCAAACACCACAGTATCCTGGAATGATAAGCTCCGATCGCTCAGGTACATTCACAGCCTGAAGTGCCGAGTCACTGGGGTACAGAGGGCACAGGCTATGGGCTCTTTATGGGCAAAAGTGTGGGAGAGAGGAGCTGAGATGATACCTCAAAAAGGACAAGTCCAGGGCAAGACAGAATCCATTACCTTCAGGGAAGCAATTAGGCAGGAGAGACACGGGAACAGTCTTAGATGGGGCAGAGTCCTGGTGGTGAGACCTCTAGCCATTCCCGGACCAGAGTCTTGGGGATGTGGTAAAAACACAAAGAACCAAGCTCACCTGGGGCCTGACCATCCGAAGTACAGTTGCCCCTGCTTGGTCTCCTGAGTTTCCCACTTGAGGAAGGGTAGGAACTGGAGAAGCAGGTTGAGCTGAGGGAGGAAAGAAAGCTATGAGTGGGACAAGCCCTGCTTGCGGCTCCCATAAGATCCATGTTCCCAATAAGAACCCAGGCACCTCACACACACTGACTCTTACCATCTTCCATAATAAGCCCTTATCCCAAGTGTGCTGTGAATTTGCCCTGGAGAGCACAGTACAGGGTCCCAGGTCAAGCTGAGAACGTGGGTGTTTCTCCAAGCCCCCACTCTTTTCAACCTTTTCCAGGGAAGCTATTCTGGCGACACTCTCTCCCATAGCTTCTCTAGCACCAGCCAGCCCTGATTTTCCCCTCACAGCTGTGGTTCCTCATGCCCTGGTTCCTCTTCCTGCTCCTGTACTCTCATTATGGACACTCCTTGCAACACAGGCCCCAGTGCTTCCTTGTTCTTTCCGTCAGCAATCTCACCAACTCTCATCACTTTAATCCTGCTCTCACAGTTCTTACTTCTCTCCCAGACCCCTACCACACGCCTCCTGCTGTCTCTGGGACATTTCACTTGGGTGTCATGCAACACCTTAAGTTCAGTGTCTAGAATGGATGAATGTTCTAGGCTGAAGTGGGAGGCTAGCTTGAGGCTAGGAGTTCAAGACCAGCATGGGAAACATAAGGAGACCTTTTTTACTCCCTTCCTTTCCATCCCTTTCCTCCTTCCTTTCCTCCCCTCTCCCTTCCCCTTTTTTCTCTTTCAAAAATTTTGTCTCTCTTCTCTTTTTTTCTCTCTCTCTTCTCTTTTTTTTCTCTCTTTCTTCCTCTCTTTCTCTCTTTCTTTCTTTCTGAGATAGAGTCTCAGTCTGCTGGAGTACAGTGGCATGATCTTGGAGTACAGTGGAATGTCTGCCTCCCAGACTCACGCAATTCTCCTGCCTCAGCCTCTGGAGTTGCTGGGATTACAAGCACCTGCTAAGTAGAGACGGGGTTTCACCATGTTGGCCAGGCTAGTCTGGAACTCCTGAACTCAAGTGATCCACCTGACTCCACCTCCCAAAGTGCTGGGATTACAAGTATGTAAGCCACTGCTCCCAACAAGAAACCTCATTTCTAAAAATTTTTTTTTTTTTTTTTTTTTTCGAAAAAGAGCTGGTCATGGTGTCATGCCTATAGTTCTAGGAGGCCATGTTCAGAGGATTTCTTGAGCCCAGGAGTTCAAGGGCTCAAGAGCCCAGGAGTTCAGTAAGCTATTATGATTGTGCCATTGCAGTCCAGCCTGGTTGACTGAGTGAGATCCTAGCTCTCTAAAATAAATAAATAAATAACATGAAATAAATAAATAAAATGTTCTTATCACCTTTCTTTTGGATTTCTCAATTTCCCTCAATGATTCCATCATTGGCCAAAACATTGTAATTCCCCTTGCCTCTCCTTTCAAACTCAAGTCCCATGGTTCCATGCTTCCATGATAACATTTTTTTACATTTATCCTTGCCCATTCCTCTCTTTGCACTTCAGGCATTAATCACCTCACATCTATTCTACTGCACTAGCCTTTAACTAAGGCTCCTTCCCATTCAATCCACAACGCTCATCTGTGCCAGAGTAATCCTCCTGACATACTATTTCTAACACATTATCCTTGGCTCCCAAAATCTTCCTGCTCAAGCTCAAGGTCCTGTATAAACAAGGCCCAACTAGAGTCTTCCCTGACTCCACCTCAATCAGGGCTCAAGGAATCCCCAGCTTGGAGTCTTTGTTGTATCTTCTAACGGCATGCCTACTACTTTTCTCTCCCCTTCAAAATTCTTCCACATTTTTACTGCCCAATACACTGCTATCTCCTTCATGAAGCATTCATTACCAGTTCCAGCCCACAATGATCTTGCTTTTTACCCAGTGATCACTTTTTACAATGCCCACATTGCTCATCTGTGACAGGATCAAACGCCTGAGGAACAAATATCATTCATGTGCATCTTATGAGGCTGCCTCTTCTTACACATGACTAACTCATCCTTCCACCTCGAAAAACAACTCTTTGAAATCAGTGACAATAGATGTACTACATCTCTCTGGTCTCTGTCAGTGCCTTTCCTATGACACGTGCTTGATGAAAACTTACTAAACACATGAATGATTAGAGAATAAGCAAGAGGAACAAATAGGGTCACTAGGGAAGGAGGACAGACAGCAGAGCAATGAGGGATTCCATGGGGTAGGAGATGGGCAGATAAAGAAAAGGAGACTCCAGAGAAGAGAAAGGAGGCATGACTTAAGGTCAAAGTTGGGGAGATAAGTACCAAAGTCCCCATTGGCGAAGTGGTGTGTCCTTGAGTCATAAGGAGGATGCAGGTGGGCTCCAGGGGCTGAGCCCCCACTGAGGGGTGATACAGGAGGAGATTCCTTTGTTGCAGCCAGAGCTGTTGTCTCCTCCAAATGCATTTCCTGCTCCTGTGCTGGGGCTGAAACCTAGAGACAGGGAAATACAATTGGGTTCAAAAGAGCGTCTTTGAAAGTACTGAACCTCAAACCTCTAAGCAGCCCTCACCAGAAAGAAAGCTAGGAAAAAGAAGAGCCAGAGTATCCTTCCAGCCCACCACTACAGCCTACTGGGGAAAAAAAACTGCAAGCAGAATCTAAAGCTCCCAATTCTACTCGCCATACCTCTGTTGACCCTCTTGCTAGGAGCTTGAAAACCAGATTCTATAACCATTTACACTCTATGTCAGGTCTTCAGACACATATTTTCTTATGAAGAACCATTTAAAAAGGGAGCCAGGAAAGCAATTCAGTACATTCTCTAGAGCACTAGCTGACAGAAGGGAACAGTCAGAAGTACAAACAATAGGCTGGGCGTGGTGACTCACACCTGTAATCCCAGCACTTTGGGAGGCTGAGGTAGGTGGATCACCTGAGGTCAGGAGTTTGAGACCAGCCTGGCCAACATGGCGAAACCCTGTCTCTACTAAAAATACAAAAAATTAGTTGGGTGTGGTGACATGCACCTGTAGTCCCAACTACTCAAGAGGCTGAGGCAGGAGAATCACTTCAACCGGGGAAGTGGAAGTTGCAGTGAGCCAAGATTGTGCCACTGCACTCCAGCCTGGGTAACAGAGTAAGACTCCATCTTAAAAAAAAAAAAAAGTACAAAGGATATTTTAAAAAAAGATAGGTATGTGTATGTTCATGTGCACAAATAATGCTACTGACGCTAACAGCTGAAGCAATACCCAGAACAGTGGCTGGCAAACCTCGAGAGCTTTTCCAATTTCTCTGAGAAAAAGTGCCTCCTCTTCAGAGAAGCTTTCCCTAAACATACTGACAAAGCAGATAGTCAGACTCAATTAACCCATTGTAATTTCTATACTACATGTATTAATCTTTAAGTAATTTTACTTAGGTCTTTATTGTCTATGTCTCCCCAATAGGATTTTAAGGATAAGAACTTTTGATCAATAGCTCCAAAACAACATATATCCCTACATTGGTGTTCAGTTAATATCTGCTGACTTCCTCTTGATATTTTACTAAAAGATTTAAGGTTATCTGCAAACTCAGTTTTCAATATATATTACCTCTCCCCAATAATTTATATTTAAAAAGCCAAATAAGATCAGATAACACTAACTTGTGGAGACCTTGAGAATACCTCAGAGCATAGACATCTAACCCTTGCTTATTGTCATCAAATCAGCTCCTCACAATCTCATGGTTACTGCTTTTACCAGTATGTGGGGCAGAAAACCTAAAATGTTATCTAAATAAGGCACATTTTAAAGTTCACTTGCTCTGGTATGTACATAGCACAGCATGAAGTAAAAATAACTTCCCCTTCAATAAACCACACAGGATTTGCCCTATTAGGTTGCATCTGCTGAGATGTTAAGGGACTCTCTCCTTTAATATTCATCGCACCAGTGTAGTGCTAGAACCAGCAGGCTCCTTAGATTCTGTAGTTCCCAAGCTCTCCCACTGAAAGGTTTTTTGAAACTGAAGGACTCCCTAAAATGGGAGTCACAGCTCTTCAATACAGGAGCTTTGGGTATTGGCAGAAGATAGAACTTACTGCACTGTGATAATTCAACTTTGTAATTCACTAACAATTAAATCCTAGCAAAGTTCCTGTTAATTATCTAGGACTTTGATATAAATCCTAGCAAAGTTCCTGTTAATTATCTAGGACTTTGATATGGTTTGGATTTGTGTCCCTGCCCAAATCTCATGTTGAATAGGAGGAGAGGCCTGGTGGGAAGTGATGGGATCACAGTGGTGGGGGCAGATTTCCCCCTTGCTATTCTTGTAATAGTGAGTTCTCAAGAGATCTGATTATTTAAAAGTGTGTGGCACTTCCCTCTGTGTGCTCTCTCTCTCCTACCATAATGTGAAGAAGTTCCTTGCTTCCCCTTCACCTTCCACTATGATTGTAAGTTTCCTGAGGCCTCCCAGTCATGCTTGCTGTTAAGCCTGCAGAACTGTGAGTCAATTAATCCTCTTCTCTTCATAAATTACCCAGTCTCAGGTAGTTCTTTACAGCGGCGTGAAAGCAGACTAATACAGAAAATTGGTACCAGGAAAGTGGGGCACTGATATAAAGATACCTGGAAATGTGGAAGCAACTTTGAAACTGGGTAACAGGCAGAGGTTGGAACAGTTTGGAGGGCTCAGAAGAAGACAGGAAGATGTGGGAAAGTTTGGAACTTCCTAGAGACTTGTTGAATGGCTTTGAATAAAATGTTGATAGTGATATGGACAATGAAGTCCAGGCTGATGTGGTCTCAGACGGAGATGCAAAACTTACTGGGAACTGGAGCAAAGGTCATTCTTGCTATGCTTTAGGAAAGAGACCAACAGCATTTTGCCCCTTCCCTAGAGATCTGTGGAACTTTGAACTTGAGAGAGATGATTCAGGGTATCTGGCAGAAGAAATTTCTAAACAGCAAAGCATTCAAGAAGTGACCTGGCTGTTTCTAAAAAGTGTCCACAATATTTGTGAACAAAGAGATCTGAAACTGGAACTTATATTTAAGAGGAAAGTAGAGCACAAAAATTTGGAAAATTTGCAGCCTGGCCACATGGTAGAAAAGAAAAACCCATTTTCTGGGGAGAAATTCAAGCCTGCTGCAGAAATTTGAGTAAGTAAAGAGGAATCAAATGTTAATAGCCAAGACAACGGGGAAAATGTCTCCAAGGCCTTTCGGAGACATTCACAACAACCCCTCCCATCACAGGCCTGGAGGACTAGGAAGAAACAATGGTTTCATAGGCCAGGCCCAGGGTCTAGCTGCTCTGTGCAGCCTCAGGACATGGTGCCCTGTGTCCCAGTCAGTCCAGCTCCAGCCATGGCTAAAAGGGGCCAAGGTATAGCTCAGGCTGTGGCTTTACAGGGTGCAAGCCCCAAGCTTTGGCACCTTTCACATGGTGTTGGGCCTGTAGGTGTGCAGAAGGCAAGAGCTGAGGTTTGGGAACCTCCTCCCAGGCTTCAGAGGAGGTATGGAAACACCTGGATGTCCAGGCAGAATTCTGCTGCAGGGTCAGAGCTGTCATGGAGAACCTCTACTAAGGCAGTGTGGAGGGGAAATGTAAGGTTGGAGACCCCACACAGAGTCCCACTGAGGTATTGCCTAGTGGAGCTGTGAGAAGAGGGCCACCATCCTCCAGACCCCAGAATGGTAAATCCACCAACAGCTTGCACCCAGGTGCAGGCACTCAATGTCAGCTGGTGAATGCAGCCATGGGGGCTATACCCTGCAGAGCCACAGGGGCTGAGATGCCCAAGGCCTTGGGAACCAATCTTTTCCATCTGTATGACCTGGATGTGAGACATGGAGTCAAAAGAGATTATTTTTGGAGCTTTAAGACTTAATGATTGTCCTACTGGGTTTGGACTTGCATGGGACATGTAGCCCCTTTGTTTTAGCGAATTTCTCCCATTTGGAATGGGAGCATTTACCAAATGCCTGTACCACCATTGTATCTTAGAAGTAACTAACTAGTTTTTGATTTTACAGGCTCATAGGTGAAAGGGACTTACCATGTCTCAGATGAGACTTTGGACTGTGGACTTTTGAGTTAATGCTGAAATGAGTTAAGACTGGGGAACTGTTAAGAAGGGTAATTGTATTTTGCAATGTAAGAGGACATGAGATTTGGGAGCAGCCAGGGACAGAGTTATAGTGGTTTAGATTTGTGTCCCCACACAAATCTCATGTCAAATTGGAGGAGGGGCCTGGTGGGAGATGATTGGATCATAGGGTGGATTTCCCCCTTGCTGTTCTTGTGATAGTGAGTTTTCATTTAAAATGATCATTTGAAAATGTGTGTCATTTCCCCCTACATTCTCTTCTGCCACAATGTGAAGAATGTCTTTGCTTCCTCTTTGCCTTCTGCCATGATTGTAAGTTTCCTAAGGCCTCCCAGTCATGCTTCCTGTTAAGCCTGAGAAACTGTGGGCCAATTAAACCTCTTTTCTTCATAATTGCTCAGTTTCAGGTAGTTCTTTATAGCAGTATGGAAACAGACTAATAGAGTCATAGGTTTCCTTTTCTTGAAGACGTGAAAACCTCATTCTAATATAGCTTTCCATAGTAAAACCCTAGATAAAAGCTGTTGGCTTAGAAACTAGGGAGATGGAAAATCCTGGTCTTCACACTTGATGATAATCAGCAAAAACCACGCTTCAGGTAAATATTTTCGGCAAGGGAATGCTTACTACATGTGCTCACTTGTCAAATGGAGATAATGATTACTGCACTGCTTGTTCTATAACTCTGATGGTAGATGAAAAAAGATACAGCATTCTAAAAAAAAGTTAAAAAAAAATAAGAAAGAAAAAATAAAGTAAAAGAAAAAAAAAAAAAAGAAGATACAGCATTCTGCAAGTTGCATGACTCTGCTGCCCAGCAGGGATCACTCTACAATCCTTTTCCAGACACAATGTACACACATGTACATGTTCCTTCTGCAACAATAAAGTGGCTTACTCCTGATAAGCAAAATGACTTCAATTTACCAGGACCCTCCTTAATCTCCTCTTGGCAAACTTCCATGGAAAAGTCTGTTTATTCATTTAGCCATTCTATAAACATTTTCTGAATCCCTGCTTATGAAAGACAGTCCTGCCTTTATGCCTTCATGTCAGAAAACATAACACTGACAGTAGCGGGAGAGAAAGAAATGGACTCCAAGGACCCTACTCCCAGGTTGGAGCCTGAGCATTCAGCTGCCTCACCTGTCAACTGCTAGGCATTTTCTTGGGTTGTGATTCAACTGTCACCCTTTGCTGAGGCTACATGGATAAAGCATTAAAAGTTTTAATAGAGGAAGCATTCACTTTTTTTTTTTTTTTTAGACAGAGTTTTGCTCTTATTGCTCAGGCTGGAGTGCAATGGCACAATTGTGGCTCACCGCAACCTTTGCCCTCTGCCTCCCAGGTTCAAGCGATTCTCTTGCTTCAGCCTCCCAAGCACCTGGGATTACAGGCATGCACCACCATACCCAGCTAATTTTTTGTATTTAGTAGAGATGGGGTTTCTCCATGTTGGTCAGGCTGGTCTCGAACTCCTGACCTCAGGTGATCCGCCCATCTCAGCCTCCCAAAGTGCTAGGATTACAGGCGTGAGCCACTGTGCCCGGCCAGGAAGCATTCACTTCTTAAGCAAAACCAAGTAGGAAATAGAGAAATTTTCCTTCTGCCACCCTCGTTAAATGGTTCTCTAAATACGTCTTCAGCCACCTGTCATGGCCATGGCTGGCCCAGCTGTTCTTTAGGCCCTTGTGATGGTTGATGTACTCATATGTGCTTACTTGTTTACACAAAGAAAATGATGGTTGATAATGACAAATTGCACTGCTGATAATCCTGGAAAAATGTCTAGCCCCAGGACCCTGATCAACTAGAACTGATTTCCTAGTGATAGATATGTAATTCAATGCTTTTTTAAAAAAAAAAAACATTGAATAGGCTGGGCATGGTGGCTCACACCTATTAATTCCGGCACTTTGGGAGGATGCGGCAGGTGGCTCACTAGAGCTCAGGAGTTTAAGACCAGCCTGGACAACATGCCAAAACCCTGTCTCTACTAAAAATACAAAATTAACCAGATGTGGTGGCTCACATCTATGGTCCCAGCTACTAGGGGAGCTGAGATGGGAGGATCACTTGAGCCAGGGAGGTGGAGGTTGAAGTGAGCCAAGATTGTGCCACTACACTCCAGCCTGGGCAATAGAGTGAGACTCTCTCAGAAAAAAAAAGCATTAAATAAAATGATATATTGGGTACTTGGGAAATTTTCTATTCTGGTTTCCCCTGGTAAAGTGCTAAGGGGTGAAGTAGAGGGGACCTCTAGTCCACGCTGCTCATATTACAGGGGAACAATTTGAAACTCATTAGGAGGAACTAACTTATCCAAGGTACGATGATCTTTTGATGTGTCAACTTGGTACTAATCAAACATCAATCCAGGTGTTGCTGTAAACTATTTTTAAAATATGATTAAAGCACATAATAAGTTTACTTTAAATAAGGGAGATTATACTAGATAATGGATGAATGCATGAGCCTGACTCAATCAGTGGTAAGCCCTTAAAAGCAGAGCTAAAGGTTCCATGAAGAAGAAATACCAGGCCAGGTGTGGTAGCTGATATCTGTAATCCCAGTGCTTTGGGAGGCCAAGGCAAGATCGCTTGTGGCTAGGAGTTCAACAACACGCCTGGGCAGCATAGCAAGACCACATGTTTACAAAAAGAAAAGAAAAGAGAAAAGAAAGAAGACGAAGGAAGGAAGGAAGGAAAGAAGCTTGGTAACACATGACTGTGTTACCAGCTACTCAGGAGGCTAAGGTGAGAGGATCACTTGAGCCCAGGGGGCTGTGCTTGCAGTGAGCCAAGTTCATGCCACTGCATTCTGGTGTGGGCAACAGAGCAAGACCCTGTCTCAAAAAAAAATAAAAATAAAAAAGAGGAGGAAGAAAGGAGAAAAAAGAAGAGGAAGAAGAAAGAAGAAAGAGAAATAGGAGGAGGAGGAAGTAGTGAAGGAGGAGAAAGAGGAAGAGGTGGAAGAGGAGGAAAAATAGGAAGAGGAGAAAAAGAAGGAGAAAGAAGAAAGAAATTCCACCTGTACACTGCAACTTCAGCTTGTGCCACTGTTTCAGGCTGCCCCTGTTGATGACTTGCCTATGGGTTTCAGACTTGCCTAGCCAGACTCACAATTACATAAGATACTTTCTAGCAATAAATCTCTCTCTTTTTTTTTTCTTAAGATGGAGTCTTGCTGTTACCCAGGCTGGAGTGTAGTGGCGTGATCTTGGCTTACTGCAACCTCTGCCTCCTGGGTTCAAGTGATTCTCCTGCCTCAGCCTCCCCAGTAGCTGGGATTACAGGCACACACCACCAAGCCTGGCTAATTTTTGTATTTTTAGTAGAGACAGGGTTTTGCCATATTAGCCAGGCTGGTCTCAAACTCCTGACCTCAAGTGATCCACCCACTTTGGCCTCCCAAAGTGCTGGGATTAAAGGCATGTGTTACTGCACCCAGCCAGCAATAAATCTTTTCACACATGCACGGGCATGCATGCACACACACACACACATCCCTCTCTCTCCTATTGATTCTGCCTCTCTGGCTGAACCCTGACTGAAACACACAGTCACAGAACTAGTTAGCTCTATGGTCCTAGAAACCAGATTTTCCAATGTGTCTTACTGCTTGCTTTTCCCAACTATTCTTCTAGTTAAATTACCTTGGCATTACATTTGCGATAACTCCAGGAAATAGGGAAAATTTAAATTAGAATTAAAGATGCAAAAAGATCCCAGTTAGGCTTGGAGAGCTAGCAAAAAGAACAAATAATTACAACGCCCAAAAATGTCACCTTTCAAAAAATCAAAGAGACAGGAAAAGAGAAAATTGACTGAGAAGTCCAAGGAAGTGAATAATGAGAATATCTCAAATGAAGACCCATATTATCAGCATACCCAAAAGCCCATCTTCCCCCTGATCACTCCATTCTAACCAGCGTGCAGATCCCCTACCTGCCAGGATTACTGTGTAAATCTCCAGGATGAAGCTAGGCTCAGAACACAGTATTTCACAAGGCGAATCATAGAGCTTAGCTGGGATGTGCATTTGTGTTTATGGCTTGGAGCACAAAACTATTTCCCCTCTATCCATAGGACAAGTTCAGGAACCCTAAAGGCAAACTAGCCTAGGGCCTGGAAAGTGGAGAATGCCTATGCCTAGGCTAGCCCAAGCATTAGACAATGGTTCAGGACACCATTCTAGACTCAACTGCTTACCTCCTCTGGTCCACTGAGGTGTCTCTGGAAATCCTCCACCACAGCCACAGCCTCCTCACCACTCTCAGGGTGATGTAGCTGCACCCAGGTCCGGAGCTCCCCAGGGAGGATGCTCAGGAACTGCTCCAGCACCAGCAGCTCCAGGATCTGCTCCTTGGTGTGGACCTCTGGCATGAGCCACCAGTGGCAGAGCTCCCGGAGCCGGCTCAATGCTTCCTGTGGCCCAGACATCTCGTGGTAACATAATTGCCTGAAGTGTAGCCGGAAGATTTCGCAGACAGGAGGATGGTTCTTTTGGAGACTGCTGCCCTGACCCCAAGTCTGGCTCGCTGGCTCCTGCTTCATAGTCAGGCGCCCTTCTTGCTTCTGGAAAGCAGTACTCGTGAGGATGAGGCCTACATTTCCTCTGCCTTCAGTGGTCATTGTGACGCCAAAGAGAAGCTTGTTCCAGTTGCAATTGATCCGATTAAAACGATGGTCTACAGTTCAGGTCTCAGGAGCTATTTTTCAGGGTTGGGGAAAGGTGTGACGGCAGTGTTGCCTACAGAAACAAGAGAGAAATCAGAGTTCTCTGAGTGTTCAGCCCCAGGATGATGACATCTTCCACTGAGTTAAAAAACAAAGCTCCAGGAAAAAAAGAACACACCGGGCATTCTCCCTAAGCATCTCTCCAAATAATGCCTTTCTTAAAGTTTCAGTGGCTCCCATTACCTACAGTAAAATCTAAATGTCTATGCCTTGCAGTCACAGCCCTTCACAACCTGTCCTTACCCCCTTCACAACCAGCCACACCCCCTACCTCTTGCCCCAATTACCCATGCTATAAAGACAATAATAGGGAAATGCAGGATATCTCAAAGGGTGTAAGAGGAAATACTAAGTTATTTAACTCCTATTTAATGTATGTTTTATAATGTGCATTATAATTTGTATAGTAGTTCTCATGTTTAAATTACAAATAAACCAATGTAGGGAGTACATGATCAAGGGAGTACATGATCAAACTTCTACTGATAGAAATGCAAAATAAAGAAAGCTTGGAGCTAAAGCTATAGAGACACAGCTAGAAGCCACATACACTTTTCGTTTGAATTTTTCTTATTTCTTTCAACTTGAGACAACCTTGTCTGTCAAGACCATGAACAAATGCCATTTTCTCTTGGCTTTCCTGATTGCCCCATCAGGAAGAGTGCTGGTAGCTTCCTGTTGTGTACCTCTCACTATAACCCTTTATTTTAAATGGTTTATGCACAACTCACTACTCTCACCCTCCAAACTGCTGGATGGTCACAAAAGGAAAGGAATCAGGTGGCATCAGAATATACCAGACCTTTTTTTTACTCAATGCACCTCCCCTAGAAAGCTTTCTCTGATCACGCTAGGCTTAGAGGGGTAGTTATCGTCTTAGTGATCCCAAACTACGTTTTTCATTCAAACCTCTAGTAGAGCACGTCTCACACTATAATCGTTTGTGGTTTACACAACTGTCTCCCCTCTTTCTGGGAGTATACAAAGGGCAGAACTGACTTCCAGTCATCTTGGTACATGTGTGTACATGGCATACAGAGGCACATAATTGGGAAACGAATGAATATGATACATTTAGCTGATACTGAAGTGGAGGAAAACTTTGAACGATTGAAAATCAGCACCTTAGTGGTACCTAGGGCATCTGTGCTGCACTTCCAATTCACCAAGCATCCCAGATCCCTGAGTCTCAATCTCCTTAAAAAGACAAAGAAGTACTGGAAAATAATCAGTAAACTCTGCTCTAAGATACACACAGGTAAGAAGTTCAGGCCATTCTCCTACTTCCCGGATTGTTCCAAATGCTCAGCACTTTAAAATCTCAACTGGATTTTTGCATTTCCAAGTCACGCTCCACGTTTGTGATTCCGAGCCTGGGTCTGACCCAAATCTGACGGTTCATAGTTTCCGGCTGCAAGAGCTGGGAAAACAGCGATCTACCTTTCGTGTTAAACCAGGCTTCAGCAGCGCCGCTCACCTGGCCACGTCTGCCCTGTTCATCGCTGTACCCGCAGATACCCGGCTCCGTGCCACGCACGGATGGTCAGGGGTATGGGACAAAGAAGCGGCTCTGCATGGGGCGGCTTCTGAGAGTCTCCGGGACCGCGCCACCTGCCGCGGGGAAGAAGCGCGGTCCCGGCCGGCTTCGGCGACCCGAGCTCCGGCCGCGCCTCCCTCCGCGTCCCGGCCCACTCGCGGTGGCACTCGGCAACGAAGCCAGAGACCTCTACTGCCAGTTCAAGCAAACACAATGGCCGAGCCGGAAGTGAGAGAGGCCTCGACTTCCGGCCCCTCCGGGATCCCGGAAGTCTCGTTTGCGAAGGTAGGCGCGCGCGTCCAGTCACCCGGGAGACCTGGCAGGACCTTCTTACCGGCAGTGCCCGGCCACCTGCCGCGGGGCGGGGGCGCGGACTCACCAGGGCTCAGGCCCCTCACATCCTGCTCTCAGGCCATAGTCGGGAGACCCAGACGCTCCCCAGCTCTGCCCCAGCTCCTCCAGGTGACATTGGGAAACATACCCAACCTCCAAGCCTGTTTTCTCAACTGAAAAATTGCAGAGCATAGGCGCGGACCTCACAGGGCTGGGAACACGCAATGAGGTAACACACAGACACTACATAGCAAAAGGCCTGGCATATCCTGAGCAATCAGTTATACCATGTGTGATGCCCAATCTGAAGTCTCAGTGAAGGGAGCAGCGAGCATCTGCATCTTAAAAATCAAGAAGCATGTCTAGAAATTGTGATATTTTGGCCCATATGTGGTTAATATTTACTAAGATAGCACCAGCATTCTGGTGTCCATGTAGAGGTCCCTAGGGCGACCAAGGAGCAGATAAAGTGAGAAGGTGTGGGAGCAGTTTGTAACCTAGGAGGCAATTGTCTAGCCTCTGGGTGTCAGGTGGTACCCAGGTGAACTTCACTTTGAAGAATGGTTTGGATACAGAAGTCGTATATGAACAGGTCCTTGTTACTGACACGACTGAGCAGGCCCTGCATGTTAATGACCATGGGTGAAGGGCAGAGGGCATGATGAAGTTAACTGTGTATCTTCATTACAGCCCAGGAGGTAGATCCTTTGCAGGTCCCAAAGTAAACAGTCTCCTGGGCTCTCTAGGGATGGCAGTATTTCACAGGTGTCCTGGGCCTAACCCTGGCCCCGACATATGTTCCTCATATATCTGCATGGTCCAAGATAGAAACAGACACCAGAAGTCCTGCTCCAGAGTTCCCATAAGCTTAAAAGTAATTTCTTGGAGCAGTCTTTGTCCATTGATCCTAATGGGTGGCTTCCTGTTACCAAGGTCCCCTTCTACATTTGGAAATCTCACAAGGAGGTTTTGGCTATTTAAAACCAGGAACCCCAGCCTCTGCCTGACATTGATGCTAGACATTGCCTACTGGCAAATCAAGGCCTCAGAAACTTAGGATTCTTGAGGAGGAAATCTCTCAAGGCCAGGCTAAATACTCTCAGACCTGATTTTCAGGTTTCCTTGACCATGTGTTGTCCTGAAGTCCTGGCTTCCTAGTATAAGAAATACAAGGATTTTAAAGTCAAGATTGAGGTTTTTTGTTATTCAGAGCTGTTTCTTGCTCAGGTTGTTGGCATTCATTGGATGTGAAGACCAGGCCCATCTGAGCAAGTGTGTTTAGACTTCAGAGGCACTTCTGCGACCAGCACTGTGGGCCTGACCTGATCTACCATGACTGGGTTTGGCCCCAGTGGGCAAGACACTCCATGATGCCTCAATATAGCACCTTGGAACACCTACATTTGGGCCAAATACAACTCCAGAAGGCCTTTGGGAATTCTGTACTCCAACTCGATCTCTCTTGAAAACCATCATTCAAGCTTTGGGATGAGAGCTAACAAATAGGTAACTCAAGTTCTATATGCCTGAAACGAAACTTACCATCTATCCACAACCCTCAAGCTCAAACCTATATTCCCATCACTGTAAAAAGTATTATTCACAAAGGGAACCCTGGGTGTCATCCCATAAGCTGGGTGACCACGGGCAAGTTACTTGGCCTCTCTGTGCATAGCTTCCTTATCTGGAGAATGGGGATAATAATATACTTGAATTGTAGAGTTGTGAGGATTGGATGAGATAAAATACATAAAGCATTTAGAATGGTGCCTGACACATTATAAGTATTATAGGTGTTTTCTAGTAGTGTTTACCATCCTTGTTTCCTCTCAGTTCATCCACTGTATCCATATTGTTACTAAGGTCTGCCACGTTTGCCCTATATGTATGTAATAATAATAAAAGAGAATATCTATAGCAATCACTGTGCTGCTCTGCATCATCACTATCACTTCCCATGTTAAATCCTGCCTGGAGTTAGGGCAGCTGTGAGCGTGTCCCCAGGAACTTCCTGGATTTAAGACCACAAAGAGGCTGGGCATAGTGGCTCATACCTGTCATCCCAACAGTTTGGGAGGCCAAGGTGGGTGGATCACTTGAAGCCAGGGGTTTTAGACCAGCATGGGCAATATGGTGAAACTCTGTCTCTACAAAAATTTAAAATGTAGCCAAGCATGGTGGCATATACCTGTAGTCCTACCTATTCCAGAGGCTGAGGTGGGAGGATCACTTGAGCCCAGGAGTTTGAGGCTGCAGTGAGTGAGCAGTGTTTGTGCCATTGCACTCCACCTTGGGACAGAACAAGACCCTGTCTAAA